GACATTTAAATTTTTCATGATTATTGTCGGTCGATAAATTAGACTTCATTGAAAATAAGTTTCTGTGGTGTGTATCTTCACATTGAAAGAGTTTATTCTCTCTTATAACTGATTCATACAACGGTAACCTAATGATACTCAAGTATAAATCTTATTCATTTCACCTAAAAGCATAGAAGTCATGACCAGTACGGAACAGAAACATATGAAAAAATGGCTACGACATATCATGCTGCCGATAGCTCTATGCCCCTGAAACGCTTTTTAATCACTAAGCAATGCCTGCTGAGTTAAAGCGCAAATGTCGAGTGTGAAGTAGTGAGTATAAACACACATGATAACGCCTTTGAGGTTTAAGTTTGATGAGCTGTAAAACTAACTACTTAAATAAATTGCAGTGGCAACTTCAGATGATTTCTTTCAAGTAGCTCTAAACACCTATTTTAAGTACGCTGCTTCTGAGTAGGATTGTAGAGGTCTAATTTAGATGATTAACTGGTAACCCATAAGCTCGTATTAGGATTAGAACCATATAGATGAACTAGGCATTGCATTTCCGATCATTCTATAATGAGTAGTGAAATGTTAATGTGTTTTAACAAGCACCTTGTGTACTATATGTTTCACACATCAGGTGATAATAACCTACCACAAACACCTTTAGATCTCTTCAATATCTATACGGTGACGAGTAAATATAAGTTCAACAAGAACGCTGTTAAGTTTGTTTTCGTTCTGTCTTCATTCTCTTCTCATCAACTCTTCTTTGTGTATTGTTTTATACTACTTATTATTATTCAGTAAACAGTTGTATTCTTAGCAATTTCTACACGAATGTTGTGACTGAAGTTTGTTGTGTCATGTTTTAAACTATTTCGCACACTCTTGGCATTGTTTTGCTTGTATCTTCCCATTGAGGTTCAAGATTGCTATTGATCATACGTATGACAGTTATTGTATTTATTGTCAGAATTAAAATGTCTCCTAATCCCTTTCACGGTAATTCTCAATTATGTATAGTCGTTTAAACTTTGTTTAAGGTTAGACAAAGCTATCAGCTATCATTTGCACTATCATATATCTTCATTATTCTTTATGTTCATATTGCTGGAGGTCCCTTTCCTTTTAGACTTACAGGCATGCTATGCTCCACAGATATCTCACCAGTTGTAGTCTGTAACTAATTTAAGTTTATTCTCGAAAAAAGGGATGCTTTTTGAACAAGTCACTCTTATATGAACTTCGGTTTTACATGCATCTGAACCGTTTGATTATACGCTTCGAAAGATTTAACTACTACTGTAGATGGATTATCTTTTTTAGTTACATTGTTGTCAGCCAGAAATTTATCAGCGGCAATCCCGAACTTACCTGATCACAGTCCAAACAATTGCAGTCGTCGGCTAGTTTTTCGTCCTAGTAGATAGGTCTCGTTTTATCTATAGAAGAAATCATGATAGTTGATCAGGTATTTATTCATATTGTGGAACACAAATGTTTAGCACAATGTCCTCCTTTTCACACAAAAAGTTTACGAGGTATAATATAGAATAGTAGGAGACACAATGCCCACACAAAATAAGGAAGTAAATAAGTACTTGGGCTATAATGTTTTGATATTAACAAGACGTTATCGCGCAACTCTTAACCAATCAACTTAAGTCGTTATAAGTCATTTAGACCCATCTGCAAAAGCTTTTGTGTTACTAAAATTATCTCTTAACGTCTGACTATACGCTATATTTGTTTCTTCATTGTTTTCTTTACCATCGATCCTAAGTTGAGCTGTTATCGTGTTGTGTAGTAAATTTATTTATCCCACTTCTTCGTTACATTCAACTCATAGTCTTATGTCGTTTTATTTTACCTTAAACTAACTACTTTCGACACGAAGATAAACAGGGGACGAAAAGTTTCTCTACTAAAGCGATTAAACTACGTCTAGGTTTGCAAATATACAATTAGAAACAGCAAAGGTTAATACGCTTATGAATACTACTGATTTAAGTATATATATGCACATTATTCGATAGGGATATCGTATATCTCAGAGCATTTTTGTCAGGGTTTCTTATGAGCGGCCCAGCACTGGGTTTAGGACGAAAACTCCAGTGGGCTTGCCGGCTATTCCAAATATTTGTCGGTTGACGATTACCAGAGAGCTGTAACGGCCAAACTGCAGATATTCGATTTCAATCGAAAAACAGAGGTTTATTCGACTACACTAAACTACTTACTTATTGGTGATGCGAGAAGCACTTTTACCCCCATTAATTACTTACACCTGTTAACCCCCGTGGTGGAGCATAGTCCGCCCACCAACATTCTCCATCCAATTCTGTTCTGCGCAATCCTTTCCACTTATTTCCAGCCACCACTCATCCTTTTCATGCTTGCTTATAATTCTCGGCTCAATGTGTGTCGGGGTGATCCAGGAAATCTCTCGCAAAAGACAAGAAAGACTCAGGAATCACTAAAAAGCATTTTATCCAATCAGCGTTCACTTGAAGTTTAGCCAGAAACATCAAGAAAGTGAAAAGTCACATTTAGAGTTCTTGATTGTCTGATTACTGCTACTATGTTTAGTAGCATTCCAGAATTTTCGGGAAACTCAAGGACGTTTGAAATACTATAAAAACCCTGTATTTTCTGTACCAAAACGAACCTTTGAAGTAAAGTGCTTCTCGCATGTTCTGTGCCTTTTCTCTCGTGTACAGGTCGCTGTGTAGTTCTAGCTTGGGGGTTACGAGAATAGCTTAGGAACCGAATATAGCGTCTAATTGGCAAGACGTATCGGTGTGTTAATTGGCCTTCCTCTTTCCCTTTTCACTTTAGGATGCCAAGTTAGCGATTGCCTTGTGGTGTACTTTGATGACTTTCTGAATGTATTTCCTATCCACATACAACGTCTTTTCCTAATTTCCTCCTGTGCTGGAACTTGGTTTATTCTTTCCCACAGTAGGCTGTTATTGATGGTATCTAGTTAACGAACATTAAGTATCTTGCATAGACAAATGTTCATAAATACTTTTACATGTTTAATGATGGCTGTAGTAGGACTGTAGGACCATCTTGACGTTCGTACTGAGGATTTTAACTTTGATATTGGTCGATATTTGTTTTGAATCCATCATTTGTACTCCATGGTCATATGAAAATAAGCTTGAACTTAACCTGCGTGACCACAATTCCATACAAAACTAAACTAGAAACATACGATATGCCTCAAATTACGGGCTATGGTATATGATTTAAGGCTTATTTGGTGGAAATGAACGCACTATACAATAAAAAATGATTGAGAAATAAAACAATCGAGTATTTGAGAGTTAAAGAGAAGATTTTCAACAAAATTAAGTAGATTTTCTATCTAGAAGAACCGAAAAGACTGGTAAAGCTTTCGGAGTAGGTAGTTAAAAAGCAACATTGACGAACAGGTACACCCTGTAACACTGAGTTTAGTAAGACGAGACATTGTAAGTGATCCAATTGCATGTAGCGACAAGAATAAATCATTAGAGATAGTAAGACATAAAATCTTTGGTCGCATGATCCTAGATAGAACATAGAAAGCAGGCAGAAAAATAAAAGCACCTAAGAAAGATCCTCAAAAAATTCATTCCGTCACATTTATTTGCACAGATGGAGTAATCTAAGTCAACCGTGTGTAGTAAATCTATTGATTCACACCACCAGAGTGCGCTGGATAACCAACGAGGAATTGTAGGCTTAAAAGAGGACATACAAATAGTATCTCACTTCTTTCTCACTATCAGTTTGTCTTCCTTCAATATCCTGGTCAACTGATGAGATTACAACCCTTCGGTAGATAATTTCGTAAATGTTAGAAAAGTAAAGTACGTGAGCTGGATTACTCTGAGTCGTCCACAAGACCATGTATTAAGCCAACACAGGCTATCTTAGTCGATGATTGGTGGTCTACTTCAGTAGGACGGGATCAGTCAGCTTGTGTCGAATTCACACCTCACGGTTAATACCTAAATCAAACTGCCCTTTCGTCACATCCAGGTACTATGGCTACTTTGATGATCTTACAACACAAACAATGTTATCACAGAAATATACTGATAAGAGAAGTTACAAAAAGTGCGCGACCACTGATGCACAGGACAGTCCATGGCAATCAATTGATTGACGGGCGTTGGTCGTGGTTGACCCTAACATGAACCACCAAATTGTTCTATATTTAATGACCATACTACTGGATGGCTTGGCAAGGGCCGTAACATTTCACGGGAATTACAAGCAGTTGGAAATTTTATTCATCATTATTTTATTTTCACTATATCTTGTGGCAAACGTAACATTTTTGGTTATTGAAGCATTTCAGCCTATGTTAAATTTCATGATTTTCATGTATTAGCTCATTTTGGTGGACACGTATACGATGTTATTTCAATATATTGACTGCGTTACTGATAATTATTGTGTTCGAACAATTCCTTTAAAGTCTATTTTTAGAATCCTATTACAAACAATCGAAAGATACCTCAGTGAAACGATGCTCGCTCTCGAATTTCCATAGCCTTATCGTTCTGAAAGTTAAAGACAAACCAAAAAGATAGAACATCTATAGTGGTAGATAAGTCCTGAAATCAAATAATAATTCAAGTCTTCGACATTGTTGCTGATATCATTAAGTTGACAGGAGACACTTCAACTGAAGACACTTGCTCAAACATCACGCCAGACCACTAATGGGTGCGTAATGCTACGCAAACCTTAGAACGGTAGTCAGTTAAGTTAACATAGTATTCAATATTTCCAAATATTTGAGCAATTTACTTGGAACAGGACAGTTGAGTGGCTAGAATACCTTCACTTTTATAGCTTGAGATACTAGACCGCTTCTTAAAACCAAGATAAGAGTATGTGCATAGTGATAAGTTTATATGAACTTTTCACAAAGTTTCTGAACACCAAGATATAAACAACAGTTGTCATAGTAACAGTAAATTCAACGTTGTTGAAAAAGTCAGATGGAGAATACAAAGCCAACTGGGATGCGGCGTGCATCTCATTGGTCTACTGAAGTCGAAAATGCATATAGGTTTCAGTTGGCGGGTTACAGAGACGAAGTGGAATATTTTGTAAGTTTTTTTGTTTTATATTATTTACGAATGTTTTGAGAACTATAATAATGCTGATCCAGAGAAGTGGACAAATACGGGATTTGTTAAAAAACTGAAGCGACGAGATGGTCTGTTCTACTATTTTAACAAGAATAGGGAGTGTCCAGACAAAGATATACCGAAATGCAAACTATACGTATATTAATAAACAAAATACGACTCAGTGAATAATATCCATCAAGCTTTATTTCTAGAAGTTCTTGACAGTGCGTACTCTGTTTAACAAAGGGTGTGAAAATTTTACACGAGGGTAAAGCAACAATTAATAAACTATTTCAACCACAAAACCTGTCGGTGTTTCTTCGCTTGTTGTTTATTCCTAATACAAGAGATTTGCTGCAATCCTCTGACGTTTTGGTAAGAGAAAAGCTTTTGCCGATTATGAGTGGTTGTGTTGACTGCATACATAGTCTGGTCATAGTTGAAACGAATATTTTCCCTCAACTCAGTCGAAGAAGAAAGAAGAGCACTGTATATTGTTTGACAGTTTAGCTAAATACTACATACTCATTTTAAAGAAGTCTAAAGAATGAAAAGCTTTCTTTAATTGTGACGATGAGGATGCCCTGTTTAACCTGCAGGGTCTGGTACTATGTCAAGCCTGCACAGGTTATTCTAGCCTTTGGACAGACCAATTTATTTATTCTTCTGGAGCCGTATTTTGATCTTGTTAATTAATCGCTTATCAACCCCAACCGTTTTTACGTAAGCGTATGTATGTAAATTTCTTATCTTAAACATCACATATCTGCAGCTTATTTTTGTTCGACTATAAATATCAATTCATGGTCGGTTAAATCAAGTTGGCTTACTCGCCTTCTCCACTGCGCATCAATCCGTTTCGCTTTGCCATCTCCTCTTCGCTTTCTTCTCTTCGTCTCTCTGAACGTCTATTATGATCGACGATTGTACTAAATATACGTATTCAAAACTCCATTCTCGTATTTGAATAATTTTAATTCCGTTATTCGCTAACGCGAGTTAAATCGATAAATATGTACGGAATTGGTGACATGTATATTTCGATGGCAATCAACATACGATCAAATCGGAGTCAGGTAATGGGCCACAAAATGTCTTGTCCACAAATGTGTTTTCTGAAGGAGCGGTGGCCATGCGTTTAGGTAAACAGTCTTCAGTCTTCTTCAGTTTTGAGTAAAAAGGATAGGAGGTCTATCAACCTATATTAATCCCTGCAGTTTGTAATACTGTGGAGGTCCAATCTCGTTTTGAATATATTAACAGAAGGTGCTGATATTACGTGTTCCGGTAGAGAATTCCAGTAATTCATTACTCGGTGCGAGAAACGAAACTCCAAACGTAAATGATTTAATTTTTGAGCTTTCTTCGAATGTCATCTTAAATGATTAGTCCTAGACGGAAGTAAAAGATAAGACTTGTTAATACCAAGGTCATCGTTCAGTATACTATAAGCCAATATTAGATCACCCCGTACTCTATGGTGAGACAACGAAATAAGTTAAGGTGTATCAGTCTTTCTTCATAGGATAGGCCAGACAGACCTTGTACCGTCTTAGTACCTCGTCGTTAGACTTTCCAGCATCTCTGCTTCATACTTGAAAAAAGGACTAGCTGCTTGAATCCCATATTCTAAATGTGGTTGCACATAAATCGGGTATAATAATCTAAACATTTCATCATTTAAATATTGGAAAGACCCACGAATTGACCATAATACCCTATAGCCTTTCGCAGCAGCAGTCTTACAGTGACTAGTGGCTTTGAGGTCACTGCTTAATATGACTCCTAAATCTTTATAGTTTCTTACTTTGGGTAGCATGAATCAACATATTGTATAGTGATACGATTCATCATAGTTATTTATTTGCATCATCACAGTCTTGTTGGGATTTACTTCTAGTGACCACCTGTCCAACCATGCCACCAATAAGCTAAGATCATTTTGTAATACCATCCTATCTGACATACTGCGTAGGGGTCTCCAAAGTTTTATGTCATCAGCGAAGAGTAGAACGGATGATTTTGCTACAGTTGGTAATTCATTTACACAAAGTAAAAAGAGAAGAGGACCAAGGATTGTACCTTGGGGAACTCCACTCTTTACAGGTACCCACGAGGAGAGAGCCCCATTTACCCTTACCTTTTGTCTCCTGTCACGGAGAAAGTTACTTATCCAATCTACGACTGTATAATGGATTCCAAAAAGTTCCCGTTTGAATTTAAGACCAGAGTGGGAGATTATATCGAAGGCTTTACTGTGATCTATGAAGATCACATCCACAGGAATATTCCGATCTTTTGCAGCAGCCCAATCTTCCTTTGTGATGAGAAGATTTGTCAAGCATGATAGACCTCTTCGAAAACTATGTTGTTCCCTGGAGAAAAGACTATACCCTTCAACATAGCTTATAACGTATATCCGAATGATTTTTTCCATTAGTTTTACAAGTGCGCAAGTTAAGCTAATGAGTCTATAGTTACTAACTAAATCCCTACTCCCAGCCTTATACATCGGACTTTTTATGGCGTATTTCCAGTCTCTGGGCAATTCACAGTTATATAATATACCCTTGTGGGTCAGCGTAATTTTACATTGGTTTTCAGGAGAACCAGACTGGGAAGCCTTTTACGTTTTATGTGTGAAATGACCAACATTTGACTTACCAGATATCCTATTTCTCAACGTCTCCTCACTGACACTGTGTGTCAGTAAACTTGGTTCATGAGAAGTGTTACCTAGTCACACTAACCAAGTAAGTCACGAAGTCAGTTGCGATCAATACAATTCATAGAGTATTTAACCAGTTATGGCAGATTTTCAGGGCATGCTGTGCATCTTAAAGTACAAATCTTTCGTTCCTGAAAGCTATACAAACGAAAAATATCAATTCATAACCGTTATTTAGGTTGAAAGTTGTGAATGGGCCATCTGGAGTCTTCCTGTATAATAGTAGCTGGTTCATCATACAAAAGGTTAGAGATTGATTCACTTGCCAATTTTTAGTTCTTTCCTAACGGACCACAGTCTTTTTGAGGGAAGGAGATGGATGTTCGCATGACTCACTCAAAATGTGGGTGGACAATTGTTGTACTCAAAGTTATAGACGTCTTGGTATCCCGGTGATCGAATAAGCCATGTATTTTTTCAAAGTTTTTAAACAGCTTCCACTTAGGATTGCGCAGCGAACTTTGAGTCTTGACTGATATCACTTCCAAGGTTACCGTGTGTTTGCAAAAAAAGTAATTCAACACAAGTATTCGATAATTCTAATAATTTGTTGTAGCATTTCAGAAATCTATAGTGTTCCTTTCAGTTTGTATAACGTCATATATCTTGTTACAGTCCGCAAATATCAAGACTGAGCGAAACGAAAGACTTTGGGAATTATTTACGAATAAAAGAAAGAAGACTAAGCAAAGATTACACTAGGAGCCTCTGTTAATCATCGCCATCTGTATGCAGCATTAAATTACTCCCAACCCGTGTTGCCTAACTCAGATAGAAGTTGGGCACATGGAACTTTACTACAACCGTTACTGAAGTGAGTGAAGACTGCATCTTTCGGTAACCTGTGACTTGGGATGCCAGTGGATGTTTCTTTGCCAATAACAACTTAGAAGCCTGAGCAACCGATTCGGAAAACATGCTATTATTTGGAGTACCAAGATCTTGTCCGATTGCTTAAATAGTTGTTTTCAAATAACCTCGTTAGAATCTTGACAACTGTGTCAGCTAAACTTACTAGACAATAGCTTTCAGGACCGAACAGAGAAATTATTTCAAAGATAGGATACAATAGAGTATTGTTCAATTATCTAGCTAGTTTCACTGTGTCGTAGGCGTGTTTAAAGAAAATAAAATATTTGATGGTAAGTAGTTTCGGTTTATGTAATAGCCTTGGAAGTATTTTGTCAAGTTTATTCATCAGTCCGTGGGGTGTCAAGTTATCAGTTGGACATCGTGCTTAGATTGAATTTAACCTAATTAGGGTATATACAAACGGGTGAGTGCAAAATGAACTGACATCGATTATAGTGATCATTATTTAAGATTGAACTGCAAGGGATGAGATTTGTCAAAGTACCGTAGATGTAAATGTCAATTATACTTTTAACTTTCTATAACATGTCTAAATGTTCAATTCCAACGAATTTCAACGAATTTTCAAGTTTTCGGATGAGTAAGGTCAATTCTCTTTGCCATCCTATTTTAGGAATATATCTGACAACTGATGTGTGAATGTTACACAATACAATTTTCCAAATTTGACCGCAGTGGTCTCCTTATCTTGATGTTCAAATGGTTTCAAAATAGTTTGTTGGTACTTTGCTTTTTCTCTCCACTTTCTGTGCATAATGGTTACTCGATTAAACCATCAAACTCAGATACGACATCAGCAATCGGTAGTGTAGGTATTACTGCCAACTGACAGATATGAACATCGAACTTTCTGTCGGTTGTTTAATGTTGTTGATGTCCTGTTTGTCGGAGCTTTTGACATATAAATTGTCTCAGATGTAATGGAAAACATTAATGTACTTCATTTCGACACTCGTTGGAATGCCGATAAACCTGAATGTTCGTAATCGATCTTGCTAATTAGTGGATTTAAAGTCAGGAGTTCATCCGATTTTTAAAAGATGTGTACATACGAATTCATGTCTTTGTCTCACATTAAAATGGAAATTAGGCGAATAATAAAATTTAATTTCGTACAGTGAATTGTGTATACCTGAGTAAACAAAGGCGAGGTAGTCTTGAAAATTACATTAGCATACCAATAAGAACACTGCTTTAGGAATGCCAGATTCCGAGTTATAGAGGAGATTAAGTTCATTTTTCACTGAGTCTATCATCTTGTGTAAGTAAATTTTATTATTTCACAGTCGCCTGATATTCCAAAGGTAGGGTCAACGTAACCAATGAATTTGGATTTGGCATTGGCAACTCATGGTCATAATGAGTGTCAAATTTTCTGCTTGACCCGAAAAGAAGCTGAAAGTTGAGATGATACTGCATCGACCAGACTGAAAAATGTCATAGCTAGGACATGATCTCTCTTTTCTGCTAATGCGAATACTATTAAATTCCAGCTACAAAAAGATTTTGTACAACTTGTCCACTTCACAAGCTTAAAAATAGTATAAACTATAATATTTGTA